TGTTTATCATCAACTTTCCATCATACCTGTTATAATTCTTTTCATTATCTACCAATAATTATTTTCAAAATCTTGAAGATCTATAAGTGTAAAAACTTTATTTTGGAAGTTATTTTTCATAAAAATATACTTTTTTATGCTAATATGCAATGACCTTATTTTTGTTATTTTAAATGAATGAATATATATTTTTAAAGATTATTCATTTTTAGAGAGAGAAGAAGGGAGGGAGAGGGGGAGTGAAACATCAGTATGAGAGAAACATCAATTTGTGGCTGCCTCTTGTACACGCCCCGTCAGGGGACCAAACCCACAGCCCAGGCACTTGCCCCGACCAAGATTGGAACTGGCGACCTTACGCTTTGTGGGATGACACCTAATCAAGCCACACTGGTCAGGGCATTAATAACTATTTTTAAATTTGTTTTAATTTTTAGTATGATAGCCCTGGATGGGTTGATCAGTGGATTAGAGCGTTGTCCTTGATACACCAAGGTTGGGGGTTCGATCTTGGGTCAGGGCACATAAAAGAATCAATCAATAAATTCACAAATAAGTGGAACAACAAACTGATATTTCTTTCTCTCTCTTCTTCTTTCTCTAAAATCAATTCAAAAAATTTTAAATAATTTTTAGCATGATAAATATCAATGGGTATATTGATATACCCATTGTCTTTGCCACATAAGCAAAGACAACATTAAGGAATCCTAGGATCAAAAAGTTTAAGAATTGCTCACCTAGAAGGATGTGTTACAGAGGGAAAAAAAAGGATTAAGTTAGGTTTGTGTCTTACAAAATTAGGATTCTGCATGTGGGCTAGTTTGCAAATGTCTTGTGAATTCTTGCTTTATTTATTTAATGAACATTAACAGATGTATAAATCCTTTCCCCAGCATTTCCACTTCTGCAATTTCTTCTTCGGTTACATTTGCACACGTAAGAAACACCAATTGTGCAGTTTTCACTGCAACACCGTAATGACAAGAGCCAGGAAACAACCCAGATGAGGGGGAGAGGGAGGCGACAAAGCTGATTAGAAATAGACTGTACTTCCACATTCCGGAATCACATGAAGTTATAATGAAAGGATGATAAAAGTACTCCATGTGCAAATATGGAAAGATGTAATATAGTCGGTATAGTTGGTAGGTAAAAATAAGATATGCTAAACAATGTGTCTGAAATGCAAACTTGTAGCATGACTAAGATGTTTCACTGAATAGTGTATGTGACTTTTTTTAAAATCCTCACATAAGATATATTTACTGATTTGAGAGAGAGAAGGAGAAAAACATTGATCAATTGTCTCCTGTGTGCACCCCAAAGGGGGACTGAACCTGCCACCTATGGGTGTATGGGATGGCGTTCCAATCAACTGAGCCACCCAGCCAAGGCATGTATGTGACTTTCTAAACTTTTACACTGTTAGCCTTTTCATCTTTGAGCTATGTGAATATGTGGCCTACTGGAAAACATGTAACTAAAAAATGAGAAATTAGCCCTGGCTGGTATAGCTAAGTGGATTGAGCAAGGGCCTTCGAAGCAAAGGGTCGCAGGTTCGATTCCCAGTCCGGACACACACCTGGGTTTCAGGCCATGCTCCCAGTAGGGGATGCATGAGAGGCAACCACACACTGATGTTTTCTCCCTCCCTTCTCTCTAAAAAAATTAAAATTAAAAAAAAATGAGAAACTGCAGGTGATACACATGGTGTGATTTTTATATACAATTTTCAAGTCTCATTAGGAGATGTGGAGACCCAAAGAAAAGGCCTTGGCCCTGAATCAAAGTTTTGGCAAATAAAAATATATGCACACACTTTAAAGGTAAAATCAATTATTTAAAACATGGACTTTTCTTTTTATCCCCGACTTTCGGCTGATGTTTATTAACTACTAATACTGAGTACATTGACTAAGAGCCCCTAGGAACCCCCAGTAATAAAGTCAGGACAGTCGCCTCATTCCAGCAAACCCCCACCTCGCCAGGGCCTGACGACAGAGAAAGGTAGGAGGCCTTGGAACGCAGTCAGATCTCCAGTTTCCAAGGCAGGGAATTGGTTTCCCATGGCTGGTCATGCCAAGCTCCCTCTCAGGCTGGTTCTGTAGCCGCCCTTCCTCCCGGCTTGGTGGGAGGCCCAAGAGCCCACAAGGATCTGTGCCTCTGGATCTCAGCTGGGCCCAACAAAGGGCCCCCCTGGGCGCCCCGATTGTTACGGTAAGGGTGGGGATGAAGCAGCTGAGGCGTGGAGACCGTGGCGAGGCTGCCCTGCTTGTCTCCTGGGAGGAGAGCACGAGGCCCCAGCTGGCAGCAGACTCTGGACTCCTTATCTGCCGGCACTCTGCCAGCCCACCAGCCTCGAGGTCAGAGAAGTCCTCTCTAGACATCTAGTGAGTCCTGGCTGGGGTCCTGTGGCCTGACCCTTCCTCATCCACACTCTCTACCCTCCCAGGTCCCCAGGGAGTCTGGAAAGAGGAGGAAGTAGAGGACTTCTCCCGGAGAAGCTTCTGTAAGTGGCTCCTTCCTCTTCACATGTTCAAAGAAAAGACTAGGATCATCAGCAATTTCATTTTTAGGAATCAAAATGGACCCTTTTTTTGGTCTTTGCCATCAAGCCTCTTGGCCGCTAGCAAGCAAGGTAATTTAGGATACCCGTTAAACTCTCCAGATCCCATTTCTTTGGTTGTAAAACACTCGAAGCTTCCCAAAGTCCCTCCAGCTCAACATCCAATAGTCTGTGGTTCTGCGAAATGCCCCAGCATGACTGGATTCAGGCATCGAGAGCAAACAGGCTGAATTATCCCAGAAGAGTGGGGAGAAGGCCCCCATTCCCACACATATTCACAGCACTACTAACGCTTAGTTCCCAAGATCCTATAAACACTGGACAAGGATTAAGATTCCTCTCGGAAGAGAGTAGGTTGAAGCAAGGAAGGAAAGACAGAGGAGGGAAGGGCGTGAAAACAGAAGCAGTCCAGTGACTGATATATATTGCACCTGCTCACAGTCAGTCCTTCCTGCCTTTTTATCAGCCCCGAAGAGAAGTGTTTCCATTACCTGAAAAAATGAGAGTAGCTCCCAAAACTTAATGGTGGTGAGGGGACAAAAAACCTTTTTCCTTTGCCCAGCGAACTTGTGGAACAATCCCGGCAGGCCACAGAAAAGAGGCTGACCCAGCAAGTCAGTGAGATGGACCGCCCTGCATCCCACTCCTACAACCCAACACACTCTCTCCTTCTGGACTCCTAAGTCAGCTACTCCGCCCAGCAGAGGTTACTGTGATGTTGCAGAGGAGGAAGGGGTGGGGAGACTACTACTCCCTCCAGGCACAATCACAACAGGCTGAAGGGCAGCGGAAACAGGTCCAGCAGTGACGAAGCCAGGATTTGAACACAGATTCACCGGGCTCAAAAGCCCGACACTCTCCCACCACCACCTTTGGCAGAGTGCTGTTCTTTCCAAACTCAACTGAACACAACACTGGGGCTGCTGCTGCACTGCTACCTCATTCTTCATGTGTGAACGTACCCCCTGCCCAACCACAGGTGTGCTGGATGGAGCTGGGCCGAAAGCCCTCTCTGCATCCTGCCCTGGCCAGTGCAGAGCCAACCAGACTGGGGCCTGTGACATGTACTGAGGGATGAACGACCACACTGAATCATGAAAGTTCTTCTTGCCCAAATGACAACACCAGCCATCCTGTGTCTGTTGCTCTCTAGTCAACCTGCGAGCCGATGGCAGGAAGAAGCACTAGTCTATCTCCTGGAAATTGTATTCCCACACAATTTATGAAAAACTCACCTGGGTCTCCAAGAGGAAATAGAATATGTGTTTTTTAATTCCACCTGCTACAAGTTATGATTCTAGACCTTCTTTCTCTTGCTTCACTAAGCTCCTCTCGGTTTTTACGGCCCTTGTTTTAAGAGATAAGGATCAATGGATAAGAGACAAGGGATCTAGTCTGACCTCAGCACTGACCCCTTTCCACGAAAGTAGACAGAGTGAGGAGCTGAGGTGGCACAGTGTGGCCAGGCCAGTCCCCTCTGTGCACCATCATCACTGCCACCCAGCAGCCTCTCCAAGCAGCCTGGGTTTCCTGGGGAGGAGTGACCAAAGGCAAACCCAAGCCCAGGGTGGCTCCTGGAGGAAGAGTCCGGTCAGAGCTGCCCCTGCCCCCACCTCCTCATGCCCCTCACGAACCATGCGCACAGTTCTCTCAAACACCAAGGCCCTGGCAGACACTAGATCCTCAAAACTGTAGCCACGATTTAGAGCTGAAGAAATTTTCTTGGCTTACTTGGACCTCAGGATCACATGGCGAACTGCTTGGATGCCTGTTTTGTCCTATTGCCATAACCATCCGAGAGAGGGCAGCCTAAACCGGACCACCTAAGTTGGTCGGTACGGACCAAAAATAGCTAAAAATCCCTGCCTGCGAGGCAAGCTAGGTCGGAGGTAGCTTAGTCCCTCCTTCGCAGTTCTCCATCTCCATACCGGCCAGCAGGAAGATTTGCGTGATTTTTCTTCAATTAGGATGATCTGGCTGAGGTGGGGTGGGGTGGGGACTACAGCTGCTGGAAGGCAAAGTCCGGACACCAGTGCCCCATCCCAGACGCCCCAACGGCTGCCCATCTCCTCCCCACTTTTTCTGTCCTCGATTCGGCAAGCTCCAGGAAGCTTCCCCGAGGCTGCAGCGCGGCTTTCCACGTTCTGGGACCTTCTCTGGCTCCCACCTCACGCGCTCTCACTGGACCGCAGCTGCGACCTCTCTTCCCCTCTCTTATAACCTCGCAGTGGCACCTTGGCCAGGTGTCGCCCCCAGGCGGCGTCCGGGCCCGTGTGCGGGTCCTCGGGAGCGGCTTTCCGGTCCGGTCCGAGGCTTCGGGGACTGCGGCCGGGCCCCCACCCCCATCCCTACGGGTGACCCGAGCCCGGAGGCGCGCTGCCGCATCCCTGCCTCCCGGCGCGGCCCGGCCTGCACGCCCTCCGCCTCTCACCTGAAGGTGGGGCGGACACCGCCGAGCCCGCGCAAACTCACAAGCCAGGTGCTAGGGCGCTCTGTGGCGGCGGCGGCGGCGACAACGGCTCCGTTCTGGCGTCCGCGCTAGCAGCCCGCTCGCCCTGGCTCCCCGGCCTGCGTCCGTCCCCGCCACGCCGCGCATGCCCGGCTATATACCCTGCGCGTCAGCCTCGCCCCGCCCCGCCGGCTGCCGCCCCACCCTGCGCTCCCCAGGGCCTGCCACGTGGGGACCTGGCCCGCCGGAGGGCTACGTGCGGGAGCCACGGGCCCGCCCGCAGCGGGCCAGACTCGGGCCCGCGCCGGGCCGGCCAGGGCGTGTCAGTGCCCTGCTGCGCCTCGAGGCCCTGGGCTGAGACCCTAGCTCGCTGAAATCCCAGCTCCTGTCTGAGCTCCCTCAGGGTCATCTCCTAAGTGGGAGGTGAACTGCCTTCTTCACTCACGGAGGCCGCATGGGCTTTTTCTTCCTGGGGAAAGAAACCTCCGTTAGGACTTCCCCGCCACCCCCACGCCCGTTATGTGGGAAGTTCTCACAACCTACCTACCACCCGCTAGGAGTAAGGCTGCTGCTCACCTGGCATGCATGTGTCTATTTTAATACATCTGGTTAATATAAACAGCTTCTCTTCCCTCCCCAACCCAGTTCTGAAATACACCCTAGGAGACGCACCCAGATGATGGCTCTTCTGTAATTTGCCACCGGCCAAAGAAACAAAACTTCCTGTTCCCATGCCTAATAAACCATATTAACACTTTTCGAACTGCACATCACACCACTGCCCTAAATGATCGGGCTCTTGAAGGGGACAGATTTCTTAACCCAAAGCAGAGAGAAATGTTTGTTTTTGTTTGAGGACTGTCTTAGAAATTTCTTTGGACTTGAGAGAGTCCTATCGAGATGGCTATCAGGCCTTAAAAATGCTAATTTCTTGAGAAAATAAGCCACCCATTAAACTCTCATTGTTTTGTTCCGCTGGACACCAGTATTATTTCCTCTGCAGCTAAGCCGGCTGCCAGCTGGGTCTAGGGGGCCAAAACGAAGGGCCTTTGGCCAGAGCTGTAGCTAGTTAGTACCTGTGGCCATGACTGGTACCTGGCTGGCCCTGGGTCTGCATTTGCAAGGGGAGGGGCACCACATCCCACTGTGCAGATCCCAGGGAGAAACTGCCCGTGATGGCCGGGTTCTTGGAAAAGAAAGCAGACAATCTCTGGAGCAGGTGACAAGAAGAACCCAAGGCTGGATGGCAGCTTGCCCTTCAGGGCTGGGTAGCAAGGGGAAAAGAATGCACTGAAGCACAGCCAGAACGGGCAGATTGTTTCTGCTGCTCTCAAAGAGACTAGCTAGGCCCTGGGTTTTTCTCAGTCTATTACCCTCACCCTACAATTACAGTGCTCCAGGTGGGTAAGGGATGGGTGATGTTACTCTCATTTTCCAAGAGATTTCAAAATAATATTATCTCTTGCAAAATTTCCCTCAGAACCCTGTCATCTTTGTAATAACCCTTTATATTTGTGTTTCTTGGTTAAAGGTGGGTATTTTTCAGACATTGTGTCATCTGTTAGGGATTCCTAATCCCATCTCCAATGGGGCTGTCAGAATTGGTCCAGTCTTTACCACCCTTCCTGTCCTTCAAGTTCTGGGTAAAGGAACGAGAAACGCACCAGAGATTAAATAAAACAAGCATGTTTCCAACACCCAGGGCTCTGAAAAGTATGAGGGCCAAAAATACATGTTACAAAGGGGTATGAATCTCTTCTGAAAACTGAGGTCCCAAAGCAACCCAATGGCATTCCCAGGTTGGGCGTCCATGCCCCACGCAGGGGAGTAAGGCAGCTGTCAGAGAGATGGCAGAAGAGGCGGGGCGAGACACCCACCACAGGGCCTATCCCAGCCTTCTGGTGTGTTTGCAGCCAGAGGAAGGGTACAGCTGCCAAAGTCCACCAAAGCTGATAAGCTATCAGTAATCCATTAGGGGAACACAATTAATTATTAACACAACTTGAAATCAAAAGGTTTTAACTCTCCATACCCACTCCTGCACAAAATTCTACAGGTTTACTCCAAGACCATCCTCGTTGCTGAAGAGTTAGTACTTATTTTTTCATACTTAGTGCCCAGATTGGGGTCCCAATTCTATCTTTTTCTCTAATATGCCCCCTTTCCCTCTTACTATCCCATTTCCACTTGTCAAAATCCCAACTCTTCAACACCACCTCCCTTCTGAAAATTTATTTTTCCAAAGCATTACTTGGCCTTCCCTTTCAAATTTTTTTACTGTAACCCACATTTTAAAATATTTTACACTGTCACTCCAGTACAAATAGCAAACAAAAATTTACAAAATTTCTTTAGTATGTGTAATATACTAATATTTTATATTCTATTTCAATTTTTTAAAAAGTGGTAACTCACTAAATTGATTTCATGACCCATTACTGGGTCGTGATCCGCAGAATTAAAACATTTTATATGGTTTATGCATTTCCCCCCTGAAATTATTTCATTTCTATCCCTAACTTACTTATTAGACCTTAATCTGTCTCAATCACCAAACATTTCTGTGAATACCAGCATCCCCTAACATGACATCTGGCACATAACAGATTCTCAATCAGTATTTGTTGGATGAATAGGCTAGCTCACTAAGTTGGATGTTGGGCAATCTTTAAGAGAACAAGACACAAAAATCTGACATTTTCAGGACTGTTACTTCCCTCTGGCAAGATACCACAGCTACCTGACAAAGGACATGCAGACAGGTTTCCTGTAGCTGAGGGGAGTGGGCGGTCCTTGGGAAAGGAACAAGAGAAATGAGTGCCCCAGCCCTGAGTGTGCACAGGGTGGGACTGGGGACCGAGAAGATTAAAGCACCTCTCTGGTGGATATCAGCAAGGCAGGCAACCTGATCTGCAGGGGCTGCGGCAGAGCCACTCTGCAGCTGTGAGGCTAGCTTGAGAGGGACTGAAGAGAGAAACCAACAGCCAACCAGGTTTTGATGATACTCTGAAGGAGAAAAATGACTTTTCTGTGTTTTGGCATGACTTAACTGATTTAAGAGGATAAGAGGGAATGTGAAGGTTCTAGTTTACCTGAAATCATGTCGGAGGCCCGGAAGCCTACTCTCTGACAGGCAAAAAGAGAACACCTCGAGAGGCCTGTCATCTCTGTTGTCATCTGATGGTTTTGGCAGGAAAAAGACAATTGGCAAGAGTAATGCTTGGTTCAGTAGCAAGTTACCTATACAAATGTGTTCATTTAAGATACCCAAATTGTTGTTTTTAATTGTTCACATAATTCCCATATAATCCATTTTCTTTCTAGATCAGTAGTCCTCTTTCATTCTGGTTTTAGTAATTTGAGTGTTTTTTCTCCCTTGGCATATCTAGCTGCAGGTTTGCCCATTTGTCACTCTTTCCAAAGAACCAACTTTTAATGTTGATTTTCTCTATTTCATTAATTTCTGCTCTGATCTTTATTTTAAAATATCATTACGTTCGTTCATCCTCACCTTTGAATAACTGTTTCACTGGAAACAGAATTCCAAACTGACACTGCAGTGAGTTCTTTTCTTAAGCAACTATTGTTGCTAATGATAGCCTGCTGTTGAAAACTTTTCTTTGTAAGCAATCTTTTCCACATGTGCTTGTTTTTTAAGACTCTCTGTCATTGGTGTTTTAGAGTTTCACTCCAGCAGGCCTAGAGTTCAGTGTTCTTTCTGTCATCCCAAGAGTTTCTTCAGGTAGAAGATTCACATTTGTCTCTAATTCTGTCTTCCATATTGTGTGGCTCATTCTTCCTATTTTAACTTGGAAGAACTCCTATTAGAGAAACGTTGGACCTTCTTATTCTCTCCTCTCTACTCTTCCAGTGTTCCCATTTATACCTCTCTGTGCTGCAATCCAGTTGACTTACATTTGTTTCTACAGGGCTCAAGGTGCTCACCAGTCTGGACCAGTCTTCATGGTAATTTTTCAGCTTGTGGTCCTTCCACATGCTAGTAATACAAGTTCAGCCTACATACATCTGTACGTAGGCCAGGCTTGGGGAGTTTTCATAAATGCCTTTTTGCCTTTGAGTTTTCTTGCTGCCGCCCCTGAATGGTTGGCAGGGCCTCTTCACTCCCTTCTAGGTTCCAGCTCTTTTCAAGTGGATTTCACTCCAGCAATCATGCACCTTATAGGGACTGTGGCCGCATCTTCTATCCTTACCTGTAATGAAAAACCTGAGTGCCACACTTTATCCATAGCCCTGGGGGCTGGGTTATCATCATCTACTTCCATCTGGCTGCCTGCTTTAATACCTTGATATTTTCCTTCCTGCCTCTTTTCTTCCTTCCCTTCTTTCCTTGTTCCATTTACCCCTGATTCAGCTACTTAACAAAAAAGCTCTTTTTTCCTACTTTGGCAAACATGTCAGTAGGGTCTGTTCAGTATGCCATGTTCCCAGAAGTCTCCCTATTTGCTCATCTAAATTTTTTAAAAATTTTACTTTATTGATTATGCTATTACAGTTGTCCTAATTTTCCCCCTTTTCTTCCCTCCACCCAGCACCCCCTCTCCCTTAGGCAATTCTTCCCATAGTTCATGTCCATGGGTCATGTGTATAAGTTCTTTGGCTACTCCATTTCCTATAATGTACTGTACATCCCCATGGTATTCTGCAACTACCGATTTGTACTTTAAAAAAAAATTTATTTCTAATTTTTTCCACTTTTATTGTTGAAGTACAATTTATTTGTCCTTCTTAATCTCCTCACCACTTCACCCATTCCCCCACACTCCCCACACATCTGCCAACCATCAGTCACTCTGTATCTATGATTCCCTCTTCTTCTTGTTTGCTTAGTTTGTTTTTTAGACTCAATCGTTGATAGATTTGTTTATAGCCATTTTATTGTTCTTAGTTTTGATATTCTTTTTATTAAACAAGCACCCCCTTTAACATTTCATATAATAATGCATTGGTGATGATGAACTCTTTTAGATTTTCCTTTTCTAGGAATCTCTTCATCTGCCCTTTGATTCTAAATGTTAGCTTTGCTAGGTAAAGCAATCTTGACTATTATTCCCTGCTTTTCATGACTTGGAATACTTCTGGCCAGTCTCTTCTAGCCTACAAAGTTTCTAGAAGAAAATCAGCTGACAGTCTTATGCAAACTCCCCTGGAGGTAACTAACTGCTTTTCTCTTGCGACTTTCAAGGTTCTCTCTTTAACTTTGGCATTTTAATTATGATGTGTCTTGGACTGGGCCTCTATGCATCCATTTTGGTTGGAACTCACTGTGCTTCCTGGACTTACATATCTCTTCCCTAATTTCACCAAATTAGGGAAGTTTCACTATTTTTTCCAATACATTTCCAATTTCTTGCCCTTTCTCATCTCTTCCTGGCACCCCTATGATACGAATGTTGGATCTCTTAAAGTTGTCCCAGAGGCTGCTTATATTATCATTTACTTGGATTTTTTCTTCTTGTTCTGACTGGTTATTCTTTGCTTCCTTATGTTCCACATCACTGATTTCATTCTTGGCTTCATCTACTGATGTTTCCCTATAAATTGCTCTTTATTTCATTAGTGTATCTTTTGTTTCTGCTTGGATCTTTTTTATGCTATTGAGATCCTCAGTTCCTTGAGCATTCTTATAACCATTGTTTTGACTCTGCAGCTGACAGATTATCTCCATTTCATTTAGCTTTCTCAGGAGTTTTGATCTGTTTTTATTTGGGCCATGTTTACTCATTCTAGCAGCCTCTCCATGTCTGTTTCTATGTATTAGGTAGAGCTGCTTTGATTCTGGGTCTTGGTAGTGTGGCCTAAGGTAGTAGGTGTCCCGTAGGGTACAGTGGTACAACCTCCCCTTTCACCCAACCTGGATACTCGAGGTGTGCCCTTAATGTGAGCTGAGTACACCCTCCTCTTACAGTTGAGCCCTGATTGCTGTTGGTAGATGAATAGGTAGGAATCACCCAGTCAGCTGCAAGGATTGGCTGTGATCACTTATCAAAAATCTCTGCCCTTCATGGAGGATCAGCTGTGCAGGGCAGGGTGGTGGTGCTTGGATGTGGTCTACAGCTGTCCAATGGGTATGCTGGCCCTGGGGTTTCCTGGTGGTGCAGGCCAAGGTCAGCTCCCACCTGTTTTGCCCAGGGCCACCCTGCCTGAGCTTTAGAGCAATCTGACATGGCTGCTACTTGAGCTGGCCTTGGAGATTTCCAGGTGAGGTCAAGTTGTGACTCTAGGCTGGTCGCTACTTAGTGCCAGGCCTGGGACTCACAGATGCAAGCTGTTGCTTGTTAGATAGGATTTAGGAAAATGTGAAGCAGGAGCCAAGACTAGCCATTCATATAAAAAAGCAGCTTGGGTGGGCCCATAAATTGGGTGGGGCAGAGTCTCTGGGGATCTCCAAGGTGAGTCAGTGTTAGCCAGGTTGATAGAGTCAAAACAGGACACCAGCTTGCCAGCTCTGGGGGCAGGGGGAGGTGTTAAGAAAAGAAACAATGACCTCTGTGCACTTTGATGCCAAACAGTTCAGCTTCTCCCTATGTGCCACTGGTGCCTTTCAAGTTGCTTACCCCAGGGCTGGAGCTCAGAGGAACTGAGTCTGAATAGGTGAGTCCATGTGCAGGTTCTTTAAGAGGACCTATTTGGGGCTCCAGAAGTTTCTTCCACCAACTCAACCCCGCTGGTTTTTGTAGCCAGAGTTGGGTTTATCTTCCTGGCACTGGGACCCTGGACTGGAAGGCCTAGTGTGGGGCTGGGACTCTTCACTCCTGAGTTATCCCTCCTGATTTTTATCCACCACACATGGGTGAGGGACCAGCCCACTCCAAGTCTGCACCCCTCCTACCAGTCTGGATGGATGTGGTTTCTTTAATTCTGTAGTTATCAGACTTCCATTTCAACTTGATTTCTGATGGTTCTGAGTGATGGTTGTTCTATATTTTAGTTGTAACTTTTATGTGGTTGTGCTAGGAGGCAAGCCATGTCTGCCTATGCCACCATCTTAACCAGAATTCTCTGTATTTAATTTTTTAGAAGTAGTTTTAGGCTAACAGCAAAACTACATAGAAAGTAGAGATTTCCCATACATAGCCAGCCTCCCCCACTATTAACAACCCCCACCAGAGTGGTATATTTGTTACAATTGTTGAAACTCCACTCACATAACATAATCATCCAATGCCCATAGTTTACATCAGGGTTCACGCTTAGTGTTTCCCATTTTATGGATTTGGACAAATGTATGACAGGTATCCACCATTGTATCATACAGAATAGTTCCTTGATCTAAAAATCTTCTGTGCCCTGCCAACCCTCTTCTCTAACCCCTCTTTTTACCATCTCCACAGTTTTTGCCTTTTCCAGATTGCCATATAGTTGGAATCATACAGTGTATAGCCTTTTCAGATTGGCTTCTTTCACTTAGTAATATACAATTAAGTTTCCTGCAGGTATTTTTGTGGCTTGACAGCTCATTTATTTTTAGCACTGAATATTTCATTGTCTGGATGTACCAGTTTATTTTTCCATTTACCTGCTGAAGGGCATCTTGGTTGCTTCCAAGTTTTGGCAATTATGAATAAAGCTGCTATAAACATTCATATGCAGGGTTTTGTGTAGATATAAGTTTTCAGCTCATTTGAACAAAATTACAAAGAGTGTGATCACTGAATCATATGGCAAGAGTATATTTAGTTTAAGAAACTGCCAAACTGTTCTTCAAAGTGGCTGTACCATTTTGCATTCCCACCAGCAATGAATGGGGGGAGTTCCTGTTGCTCCACATCCTCACCAGCATTTGACATTGTCAGTGTTTTGGACTGTGTGTACTAGTATCTAATTTTAATTTGTAATTCTCTAATGACATATGATGTTGAGCATCTTTTCATATATTTACTTGCTAGTTGTATATCTTCTTTGGTGTGAAATATACAGTTGGCAAAAAGATCTGTCTGTTCCGGTCTTTTGCTCAGCTTTAATCAGGTTGCTTTCTTGAGTTTTAGAAGTTCTTCGTATATTTTGGATAAGAATCCTTTATCAGATCTATCTTTGGCAAATATTTTTGACCAGTCTTTGGCTTGCCTTTTCATTGTCTTGATTTTCCTCATTTTTTTAAAAGAAAGAAAAATAAGTCCAGACAGAAGTCACTCAGATACTCAGATAGAGAACCACAGAGAGAGAGAGTAGGATCCTCTCCAACAATCCCAAATCACTGAGAAATTTCAGACACAAATTTTAACATTTTCAACATAAACAGCTAGTCATTTGGAAAATATCTTTTTTACACCACTCAAAAAAAAATGCTGCCCAAGTTAAAAGGGCCCTGTAGCACTGTATAGAAATTAGATCCTTTCTGGCATGAGCTCAAAAGCACTGCATGATTTAGGAATGGAAGAATGGGGTGTAGTAATGCAGCAAACAACCAGGGTGCTTTGGGAAGGTACCGTGAAGTACACGCAAAAAGGGGCAAGCATTAGAAAAAGAGGAGGGAAACCGGCTCTCACGTAAACTAACAGAAATTGTCCAAGTAGAAAAGAGGTTCAAAAAACACCACAAAACACACACATACAAACAAGTGTTTCATTTGTTCCATAAGTAAGACTGTTAGTGTCTTTTCTAAAAATCTTACTATCCACATCACAGTGAAATCACCTAGCTACTAGTATTAGAGCTCCACCTTTATTACTTGCATGACAAGTAATAAATTAATAATTCTACCAAGTGTTGTGGCTCTCAGAAGGAAAAAAAACACTATCAATGTATTGACGCCATCATTTCAAATACAACTACACATTTATACAAATTTGTTTTTATTTCCTACCTGGTGACACAACCATTTTGCATTAGACTGAAAAACAGCCCCAATTGGTATGGCTCAGTGGGTTGAGCACTGTTCTGCAAGCCAAAAGGTCACCAGTTCAATTCCCAGTCAGAGCACATGCCTGGTTTGAGGGCCAGGTCCCAGGTTGGATGTGTGCAGGAGGCAACCAATCAATGTTTCTCTCCCTCACTTTCTCTCTCCCTTCCCTTCTAAAAATAAATTTTAAAAGGCTGAAAAGCAAAGCAAGAAAACCAAGAATAAAAAGTAAAGGTATGTTTGTATTATATTGAAGTATTTTTTATTACGTAAGAGAAAATGAGTATTAAGAGATCCAACCTCCAAAGAGCAACTCCAGATGTTTCCAAAGAGAAAACTGACAGAGACCAGTGCTCCAATTTGTTTGATGCGATGGTTTTTAAATTCCAGGTCTTCCCCTGCATGCGCACCCCACACAAGACCAGGGTGCACTTGAGGACCGGCAGCACCCAGAGCTCATCAACTGCTGCTGAGCTCTGTGACAAACTGACAGTTTGCTTGGTTTTCTTCTCAGGAGTTTTCAGCTGAAGTTCCTCTTCTTACACACTGTCATATAAAATGGGAATTTCTGACTTATCCCCTCCTGCCATCACTCCACAAATTAAGCAAGTAAAAATTTGAAAAGGTTAAATAAAATTAGCTTTTAAAACCCAGTTAAAGCACAGTAAGCATGAACTAACTCTGAAGGGACTGAAAGAATATTTTAAAACAGGGAAAATAAACACAAAAACCAGTGCTTCCTCCAAACACTGAAACCCACAGGCACAGTGACAACTTTCTCAACTGAAATGTCTGCACTTTGGCAGAAGTGTCATGCTTTCCAAAGCCAACTTCAGCCTGGATTCAGAAAATTTCCTAACAAAATGAGCCAACATCCAGGAAAAAGTTATTGAGTTAGGAAAATGAATGATTCAATTTACAAACATACAGCAACAGAAAAGAAGGCCACACAACCGGGAGAAAGGTTCAAGAAGAGCTCACCCCCCATCATAAACCTTCCTTGTGGTTTAGTTTCACCTGCTCTGATTCTTAAATTTGAAAACAAATTTATGGCCTTGGCCAGGTAGCTCCGTTAGTTGGAGGAGCAATGTCCCAATGTACCAAGGTTGCAGGTTCGACCCCCCAGTCAGGGCACATATAGGAATCAACCAATGAATGCATGAATAAGTGAATCAAGTCAATGTTTCTCTCTCTTTCCCTCTCTCTCTAAAATTAAAAAAAAATTAAAAACTGCAAAAATAAAAATCAGTTACGAAGAACAAAGGTGTGGTGGGCAAAGGAAGAAATCGCCATGGTCTACTGTGAAGTAACTGAAATATACAGAAAGACATTACCTGGCCTCTCGCAGGAGAGGCCTGAACTGCCTTTCAAGGCCTGCTCAGGTTATTACAGGTGCCACACACGCAATCCCCAAAGATCAGACCAGCAAGGGTCTGATTATACCACCAGCTGGTTTTCCTAGTGTCTTTTGCATTTGCCAGCAGCAGCAGTATCTTGAAAAACTTTGCCTCATAGGCCTTGTTATTACTTTTCCCAGTTGCTCAAATAAAGTAACTCCGCTTTAAGAAATTTGGCAGTGACTTCATTATCACTTCCGTGCCAGAAATAGGACCTGCTTAGTGGGCAGAGCCAGGTATGACTGCTGCTTCTGCAGCTCCCGTTGGCCCTGCAGGTCCTTCAAGGGTTCCCGTGCACAGTAGCACTATCACCCTCATTTACTTTACAAAGACAACCAGGCAATTTCCAGCTGATATTCAGAATGGAACTTGCTTCTTGGTGATACCAGGTTTAAAAGAGAAAAAAATAGGCAAAAAAGGCATCTTATCCTACTAGGTTGGTGAAAGGGAAAACATCAACTTGAAAACCCCTGGATCCTGCAGGAGTTGAAGCTGGGCTCAGAAGTCTAATCCCTCTAAGCAGCCCATATCCGGGTGACCCGGTCACAGGAAGAACAGGTTCTCGCACAGCTGGATGGCTGGCTCGTGATGCAAGATCTGTCCTGACAGGAAAGCCAGTTTGTGGGCATACTTGCAAGGAGCTGGAACTCGGATGGTGCCAGGCCAATTCCAGTACATGTGGCACAGTTTGAAAGTCAACCTGCAGGCCAAGAAGAAAATATGATCCTTATTACTTCCCACTGTCATTCTGGGATGCGGTCCTGCACTTGTGGGTGTGGACTTTCCAGAAACTGGGGCACCAAGAAATACAAGATGTACCTTTTTTTAATTTATTTTTTTACATGACACAATTTTGGGAATCATTATTTTTAAGTGCAATTGTTTCTGTTTCCACCATTTGTGAGTCTGGAAGACACAAGTAAATTCCCTCACTTTAGGTACCCCCTGTTTTTAGATCAAAACAAAGACAAAAAATATATTTTTTGCCTCAAGGAGAGGCTGCAGAAGGGTTAGTGCCCCAGCAAATTATTTATATAGTCTGAGCTTAAGGGTTTTGGATCTCAGGGTTGGCTGTATTTCATAATCATCAAGAACATTTTTAAAAACATAAATGCCTCAGAATACTCAGGGGTGAAGCCTGGACATCAGTATATTTTTTAAGCTCTTCCAGTAAATTTAATGTACAACAGAATTACCAATTACTCCTAAAAAAGACAGCATTATTATGAAAAACGTGAAGAAAGTCAAGGGGTAAATACTCCTGGGGCTGGGCAGTGACTCTGCCATAGAGTGAGAAAGAGGGAGCACTGGTCGGCTCACCTCTGCATGTGATCAGGGCTCAGGTTCGCAGTGTTGAGAACGCACACGTAGTGTGTAGGAATGCCGCAGCCCTGTCGTACGTGGTGGGCGAGGAGGTAGAAATCCACCCTGCAAAGGAAAAAGGACAGAGCAGTGATGTGGTTGGGTTTGACCACACAGAGGTGGAAAAGACCTGGGTATCACTGCAACTCCTTCACCTAAGGCTCAGTGAGGTAAAAAAAACTGGCTCAAGAACACACAGGGACCAAACCATAATTAGAACTCAGGTCTACTGACTCAACAGGCTATTCAAGAATCACTGTAGAAACTTCCATATCTGTGTGCAGAATGTTAAGCATGGATCTTAAAAATGTATGCTCAACATTTTATACCTAAGAGGTAAAAACTTTTGTTTTTTTTCTAATAGTTTTTAAAGCTTTATTTATTTATTCATTTATTTATTGAGAGAGTAGAAGGGAGGGAGAAAGAGAGGGAGAGAAACATCAATGTATGGTTGCCTCTCACACGCATCTGGACTAGGGACTGAATCTACAACCCAGGCATGTGCCCTGACTGGGAATCAAACTGGCGACTTTTTGCTTTGCAGGACAATGCCCAAGCCACTGAGCCAAACTAATCAGGGCTAAAATGTTTTTCTTTTTTTAAAAGACCGAACCATCTTTCAATTACAGTTTACACGCAGTATTATTTTGTTTTAGTTTCAGGTGCACAGCATAGTAGTCAGACAATCATGTACTTTGCAAAGTGTTCCCCACTAGAAATAGTATTTCCAGTATCCACCTGGCACTATACATAGTTATTACAATATTATTGACTACATTACCTATGCTGTACTTTATATCCACATTAAAGTTTTATTTTTTAACAGTAAAATCTCTGAGGATTCCATTCTACATCTCTCTAGGCAACCTGCCCATTGCAATACCCAGGGAATGAATAACTTCTGCAACCTATTCCTGCTAAAATGTCACAGTCTGTCTACTTACCAGTCACAGCTGGTGATTGTATGATCGACCACGGTCCCAGGGGAGGGAGTTGCAAAGTGCTCGGTAGCAGCCAGGTACAGATTGGTGCTGATTTTCTTCTGAACTACAAATACCACCATCTTGGGCTGGTAATTCTCAAAAGCTTCAAAACACTTCTGTAGTTGAGGAACCTCATAGCTGGCAACTGTCCTTAGCTGGCCATCAGACACTCCATCGCGGTACACCACAATCTTCTCTGGGAGACAGTGATTCACCTGAAATGACACCTCCTGAGGTGAGAGTGGAGCCCCCAGGTCAGTGCCCATGGGCACTGAGTGGCTTGCTCAGGGCAGCCTGGAGACACTAAGGAGTGTCAGAGGGCAGGGGAAAGCTCTGGTCCTTCCTACACTTCCTCAGGGCAGTAAAACAGGCCTGGTACAGCAAAGCCATCGATAAAATACAAAAGCCAAATAAGCAAGTCGTTAAGTCACATGATATGGCTCATCCTCAAACAGTGTGAATAAAGTTGGAAGGAAGGTAGGAAAATGATGGGCTGAAATCAATCTCCTACTTGGATTTAACACTAATTACCATCCAGACCACAAACAAGGTGAGCTGTTAGAGAACTTCTACCGCAGACCCCTCTTCCCACAGACCCAACATCCTCACATTTTTAGGCATCAGCAACATCCAAAGCTGCTAACAAGCAAAAGGGTACTTTGCTAAATATCATCCTACAATCAAGTATAATGTGAAACAGTTTTACTATAACTAAGTAATTAACAGTCATGGTAAACTGTCCATGGATTCAAATCAAATTAAATGTTCTCATCGTGTTTGAGTCCAGTAGTTCAAAAGAGTAGTTCCAGCAGTCCATTTTACACTAGGAGTTCTCTGAAAAGTGCTTTCATTTAATTCACAGTTAGTGAGGTTTGATTATGAATGTTATTCCTCTAGGTTTTTGTTCACAGTTCCACTCAAAAACCCAAATTATCACTGAATTAAAGATGCGCATACTACACATGATTTATAGGTTACTCTACACAAAAACTGAAGTTTCATTTCAAAGAACCTTTTTTAAAAAATAATCAGCCAGAGCCTTTTTGGAGCCTAAGTTCAGATTTCAAATATTTCATGAACGTTCCTTTTTTCAAAGCCACTCAAGTATGACATTTACAAACCTGCAATCATCTTCACGCTCCAAGACTGGAACTACTGCCCCAGTTTGCAGCATGTTTTTTGTCTGTGTTGTCTTGGCCATCTAGTGCCTCTTCCACCTTTTAGGGAAGAGGCTTTAGTTTCCTCCTGCCTCCAATGGGAGTCCAGAGGGACTACTACTCAAGGTGTCTTCCCCTAACCAAACCCAGGCTTTCTCAACCTCGGCACTACTGATATGTGGGGCTGGTTAATTCTCTGTTATTAGGGGCTGACACTATAGGATATTTAGCAGTATTTCTGGCCTCTACCCACCAGATGCCAGTAGCAGGTTCCCCCAGTTATAACCCAAAATATCTCCAGACAGTGGACACTAGGAGGACAAAACTGCCCCAGCTGGGAAACACTGCACTAACCAAAGGACACAGAAGCGAGTCGAGCCGTGCACCCACAGACCACTTCTCCCTAGCCCTGAATCTTGAGCAGAGAATAAAAGTCACTTGGAATTTGGTCTCTCTGTGCTAGCGCCTCTTCAGGTCTCTGCTTCTGGCAACCCTGGCTCCCGTCTGTTGCCCAGCTGGATGCTCAACCTTCTCACCAGCCCTCTAAGACTCTCCAGGACCTGACCAGTGAGCACATGTGAGAGCACATTTCTGCGACTCCCCAGAAGCCCCTAACTCGTCTGCTGTGTTAACAGGTAGCTGCCACAGGCGCTTAGATCTAGAAGAAGCTCTGATGTCACAGAGGAGGGGACAGACAGGAAGGACACAGGATCTGGGCCAGGAGACCTGGACTGACCAGGACTGCTATTTTTCAGCTACGACCTTGAAGACTCGGTTTCCTCAGTTGAAAAATGGAGGTAAATGACTACCTTACCTTCTTCTTAGGGTTGTTAAGAGGGATAAAGTAAAAAGTAAAATAAATATACACAGGGTGGGGCAAAAGTAGGTTTACAGTTGTTCATGTGGAAAACAACACAATAACTAATAAATAATAAACAAGAATAAACTCTGTGTTTTTGTGTACTCACAATGGAACCTGCCTTTGCCCCTCTCTGTATATATATAAGATCAAGAAAATACAGATATTCCTAAGCACAGACAAGGGAAAAAACAATATCAATGGAATGGAAAAAATAGAATCAAATTCATTTCAAGTATTCACTGATATCAGGTCTCTTTAAAATGTGCTAATCTACCACTGAGTGAGAGACACTATACTTTGCCCTATGTAAGCTTCCAGGAAAGACGTAAGCTTTTCTTTTCCAGGAAAGCTCCTGTTATTGAGGAGCTTAAAACCTACTGATAGTCAACAATGGTAAGTTTTCTAGCCATCTGGTCCATTCTCCGCACTTCATAAATGATAAAATTATGTTCTAAGGAGGGGTCAGGATATGCCATAATTCACAATATGGACACGCAGACGTTAAATGCACTGTATGTTATTAAACCAGTATACAAAGCAGTAAGTTAATGAGCGCCTTGAAGGCATGAGTGTACCTGTTAGGCTTGGTATCCTTAGCACTGAAGGCAATGGCAAAGGTCAAGCAGGAAACAAGTATCTGCTGGAAGTTGGAGATGTTCTCAGGTGGATGGCTCCATTCATTCACAGCAGACACACTTAACACCCAGTAATTATGAGCCACTGTTCCAGCCTCATACAATTAGAAAATTACTTCAGTACCACCCAAATGTTCATGTAACTCAAATTAGAATCAGGAGACGGATACCTAAAGCAAATGCTCTCAATACACTGTAAGTAACAAAATTAAGGTATAAGTAAAATGCTGTGAAAACAGAGAAATATGAGACATTTGTTCTCTGGAGGGAGAAATAAATATTACACCTCAGGAACAGGCATGATGAAAGAATTAGCAGACAATTCAGCCCAATAAAGAAGGGTAAAAGGACCCAGGTAGAGCATGAGCAGAGGCCTAGATTGTTGATAGACAAGGGTTAAGTAAATGTCTGAGGACCAACCTACGCAACAGTCCCAATTTATTCTGGGACTGATCCTGGCAATGACCTATAAAACAGACTGAAGATGGTTAAGAATGAATGAATAAATGAACACTTCCAGTTCAGGATATCCAAAGATACAGAAAACCTCCATTCCCAGGTAACACCAGAAAATCCAAAACAATATAAAAAGCACACATTTGGGACTGTCCAAGACCAGCAGATATGAAAGCCTTGATTGATGGCTGCATGTCCAGAGAGGAAAGCCTTCACACGTGAATAGTGGATTTCTAAAGCTTTCAAGAAACAAATGCCAGGCATGAGTGTGGGCAGCAGGACAAGGAGGCCTGAGGTCTGGGAAAGTTCACCAGGTCAACAAGAGGACAGACAGACAGGACTCTGGAGACACAGCTGAGTAGGAAGCTACAGGTATCTGTCTGCCCACTTAAACAACAACTACACTGACAGAATCTGTCTACAACTATCCGGGAACTCTGGAGTCTGCCGAGGGCTTGCGACCTCCAAGGGAAGACGTAGAGGGTAAACTGCAGTTAGTATTAGCAATTTGCACAGAGGCAGCCCCCCATCCCCTACCGTCAGCCACCTTACCGGACCCCGTCTTACAAATATCGGGACCTGTGCTCCAATTGTTGACTGCTGCCCCTGATCCCAGAAGGGTGGACAGAGAGGCTGCCGGCCCTTGCTCCTGTACTTCCCCTGCCAGCTGGAGGGACTCCCAGGGGATTTCACAGGCAGAGGCCACTCCTCCCTGCCCTCATTCATTCTGTCCTTTTCAGCTCTTAGGGGTCAGACATTAAAGACCAGGACATTACAAAACAATTGCATCTATGGGAGAAAACCGGAGAGTGACCACACATGCCCAGGGAAAGGCTCCGCAGGGACCTGGGAAGACCCTGCACGCACACTGCTGGCTGAGCCCCGGTGCAGGCACACATGACCGCAATTTTTTAAAACAAACCAGCAAACACTGGGGAAGGACAATCCGGTTTTCAGAGTTACCACATTAAATATCCAGTTTTCAACAAAAAGTCACAAGGCATTAAAAAAGTAGGAAAGTATGGCCCATTCGAAGGAAAAATTAAATCAATAGATATTGTTACTGAAAAAGATCTGAGAGCAGATATGTTAGCCAAAGATTTTAAAACAACTATCTTAAAGATGCTCAAAGAACTAAAAGGTATGCAGAGAGTAAAGAAAACAATATGTTAAAAAATGGAACTATCAAAAAGGAGAAAACCTAAAAATTAACCAAAAAGAAATTATGAAGCTGAAAAGTACATTAACTGAAATTTTAAAATTCACTAGACAAATTCAAAGGCTGATGTGAGCAGGCAGAAGAAAGAATCAGTGAACCTGTACAAAGGACAATGGAAAGTCTTGAGTCTGAGGGAAAGAAAAAAGAAGGCAGAGAAGACCGCCTGAGAGACCCGTGGGACACCGGCCAGTCAACATGCACATTATGAGAGACCCAGAAGGGGAAGAAAGAGGAAGAGGGAATATTTGAGGAAATGATGGCTGACAACTTCCCAAGTTAGATAAAAGACGATAATATATATATTCAAGAAGCTCAATAAATTCTAAATATTGTGAATTTGAAGAGGCCTACACTGCCCTGACAGGGTAGCTCAGTGGGTTAGAGTGTCATCAGGTTTGATCTACAGGTTTGATCTCTGGTCAGGGCACATGAAAGAAGCAACCAATGAGTGCATAAATAAGTGGAACAATGTTGTGGACCACTCTGCCTGGTTTTAGGAATTGTAAGTCTCTACCCCCTGTGGCTAAGGATGAACGAGTGACCTCTGGAATGCGAGCCGCAGGAGACAAAGCCTGTCTCTGGTAGCAAACGCTGCCTGCTTCCTCCCTGCCCCCAAAGCTTGGTCGGAAGTCAATGACGGGTAAGACCCCTCACATTGGGGGGGCAATCTAAGCCAGACTTGATCACTTGGGAGGCCTTCATGGAAGGACTGGGGGGGGGGGCTGCAACAAAGAGGGATCAATGGACTCTCGCCCTCTCCCCCACCCTCTGGCTTTGGCAAAGCCCAAGTCCCCATGTTCTCTGGGAGAAGCGCTTCCTGGCCCTAATCCCCTTAAGCCTGAATACCTGATGGGGAGAGGTGTAGCTCCTTGCCTTGCTAGAGCTT